TGTCTACAGCCAGTGATGGGTGATATAGATGTGGGATGTTGTGGGCTTGAGCACCCACACCCCGCTCTCCTAACTTGAATTTATTTTGATGATTTTATTTGATTTTTTTAATGAATTTCTTTTCATGCGAGACTGGTGAACAGAGGTTAAGACTAATAGAAAACACACACACACCTAAGTCCTTAGTTTTTCATTCTTGTGTTGTATTACCAATGGCTGTGGTTAACTTCTCCAAGACAGCAGGACCAATGTCTGCTCTTACTAAAGTTGAGTTGCACTTTGAGTCGAGAGAGGAATGCAATCAAGCATCCAGATCCCTAAAGCCTTAGTAGATGCTCCATTGATAGCCTATCTATAAAATTACAGTCAGTTTCTGTTAGACACTGATGCCAACAGCAACAGAATGAGAATGGCATGGTCACAGTGGCAGGACAGGGTATAGAACGGCAGATACAGCACAATGAAGAAAGAACTGGTCTCCATAATACACCATTTCTGTTACTTATATGGTAGGAGATTCATAATACAAGTGGCCTATGCTTTGTGAAGTAGATAATGAACTTTAGAAATGTGGTAGGGATGAAAACGTGTTGAAGAACAACATTGCAAGAAAATGACTTTTTATAATGTATGACCTGGACCCACAACATGAAAATGTGGAGAGACTATCTCCCCCACTTGGTAAAGACCTTGTATGTTTGTTAAATGTCATAAGAGACTATCTCCCCCACTTGGTAAAGACCTTGTATGTTTGTTAAATGTCATAAGAGACTATCTCCCCCACTTGGTAAAGACCTTGTCTGTTTGTTAAATGTCATAGGCGTCATGTAGGAGTTAAGACTATAGCCATTTCTACCATAGCAAAGTCAAGTCCCAAAAGTAGACAATTTGCCTAGTGGATGGATGCCATGATTTTCCAAAGCTATAAGAAGAGCAACTGAAAGAACTTGAGCATAGCTAGCCCTAATAGATAAGTGTGGCTCTTTTATGGTCAGTTACACGTGCAGTAAGGTGTGCTATAACATCACTATAAATCATCAAGTCATATTTCTCTGACTGTGTTGCATTAATGGTCTCCATATTTTTATACAAGAGATTCTCCAGACCTTTCATAACACAAAGACTGTAGGGCACCAAGGTATTACCCACACTTATGCTAATATAGGACAGTGGTTCTTTTGATTGCAGTCATGTCAATATGGTGAGTACTGATGTGAATACTGTATCGTGTGTGCATCTCAGAGGAAGAGCTAGCTAAGACGAGATAAACTCCCACATGGAATTGTCGGATGATGACTCTGGATATCACCGGTCCACTCCTAAAGACTGAGAGAGATCATTGGTATATACTCTTTGCTATCAACAAATTAATTAAATAGACAAAGGCTTATCCAATAGCGAGTACATTGACATAGTCTGTCATCGATGTGTTGGAGGATGTGTTCACCAGCTTAAACACTCAACTATTAGCTGAGTTTTCTAAAGTGTTAAGTGTGGTGAAGATGCACACTTCACCATCTTACCCCAGTCTGGTGATTTCACAGAACAGATAATGTAAACTACCAAGTAGATGCTTCCAGAGTTTGTTAATCCTAGCCAATGACTGGAATGATTTCTTCCCGTGTATGATGATGATTTGTAAAATCAACTGTGCAGAGATCTATTGACTGTTAACAAAACCTGCTCAACAGGCAAGAAATTCTATGTCCTGTTGACATGATGTTTGGTCTTCCCTCTAAACCAAAGATGTTCCACAATATCCACAAGATTATGGGTTGGTCCAACAATAACTTGGAAAGAACACTTGAAGGCAGAAGAAGTGCTATGACAAAATATATACCAGTGTAGAGATTGGGTCTGGTTGTGGTACATTTCAGTAGCATGGAAACAACATAGATCTGGCAGGACTGATCCATACCTCGTACTCTGAATGCAAATGTAAGTGATACACATTGATTAGTTGGATATATATATATTACAATTGAAGCTCTCGTAAACTGGCCTGAAATCTAGGAATCTGGAGTCAAGAACAATTAGTTAGAGGGGGGATGAGAATTCTGTCTCAAGTCATGCTGACTCACCAAACGAGGAAGAAAGAGCTGTAAATACTTATCAGGCTGTCCATGATAAAGCAGATGAGGATAAATGCAGGATACAGCATCGACAATCAGCCTAACCAGCAACATTGACCTTCCAATCGATATGGCGGAGTGACAGGAAATCATGATCCTTGTTTTCCTTACATAGATTGCATAATTACCACTTGATCATCAGTTTTTTGGTTGAAATCCAACGGCTGAAAGAGATTTGAGATTCATTCAATCTATTTGGTGGTATTAAGATGTCATGTATGTACTATATAGTTTAGTTACCAGTCGATCACCACCAGTTAACACAATCATTTGGTCCAGCAACAATAATTGAAAGGAAGTAGAATTCCTTGCTTTCTGAGCTTTAGGTAGTGTTGTCCAGTAGAGAGGATGGACTGCACTTTGTGACTAACACCTGATCATTGATGGTCAGGTGATTGCAGAAATCTTTGTTTAATATTCGATTACAACGAGCTAAAACAACTGGAATGAGTAGGTGTAATAAAATGGACATTAACAATTTGCACAATTGAGGATGATAGCTAGAAGTCCAAAAACTCACCTGAAAGGTCTTTGCAACTCTTGCTTTCTGAGCTGACAAGTGGTATTTCACACTATGATTTAAGCACTAAATTTTATGATTGTTACTTGGTTTACTAACTAAGTTAGGATGGTCATGAGATTGAAAATTCGGAGACAGAAAAGAACATTGTGGTCCTTGCTTTCTCTGCCACCGAATGAATTTTCTAATACAAAACGTCGTCTGATGTTTGAGAGGAATCAGTCCCGTGATCTAGCTGAGAGATGAAAACTTATTAAATTCTCGTCGACATACCTGAAAAACATGCTAGTTCTGATTTACAGCAAGTAAGTTGTTTTTCTGAGATACAGTAATGAAATCATGACTAGTAATCTTGGCCTTTGGTTAAAAAGGCTTAATTTATCTAAATTTTAAGTGATTGTTTATTTCATAATGCCTGAAACGAAAGTTGGGTTTGACAGCTCCTAGATGGCAACACTATCGCTACTGAGACTTAGTTCCATAAGATAATTTGACAAAGTATAACGGTAATATAAAAATATTGCAGTATGCGTGTATAGATAAATATATGTGTGTGTGGTTTTACATACTTATATGAACATTACACAAAGTCATTCATGAGTGTTGTATAACAAAACTAATCAATGACCTAAAGAATACAACAGCAAGTAACATGGGCAAGGAGATGAAGGATTTGATGTTGAGAATTGATGACACAATGTTAATTGTGATAACTAACTAACTGATTTCAGTATTTAAGGTCAAGGTTTAGCCATAGTCCGGCTATCTACTTGACTAACTAATAATAATAACAATGTCCTTCCAGTATTGCTGTGTTCAAATCTTCCCAAAGCTTATCTTTTTCCATTGATCTCCAACTATGAGACCAACAAATTCCTCCGAAATGCCCAGAACTTCCTGTACAGGAAGGGAGCTGATAACAAACCAGGAATTTGAGAACTGTCCTGATATTTACTTTGGCTTTGTCCATGCATGAAGATGGTTGCTTGTCAATGGACAGGACATATAAGAGCTTACCACATCTGGAGTCAGGCTGGCCCTGATGTTGCCATTGACCTGGTAATCTCATTCAGCGACTGATGTTACATTTGTTAACCCTGCCAAAGAGGGGCTAGTGGTGAAAACAAAGAAGCAGACCCCAATGTAAAAATCTTCAGACAGAGATTGTGCTATACTGATACATCAATGATGATATATATTCACTCATCTCTGTCAAGAGCACTATATGTATAAGCTGAATAAAACCTCTCCAGCACGTGAATATCCTTGAGGGTTAACCAGGTATTGAGAAAGTAAAGGTGGGACAAGTTTCTGTGGAACACTGACCATTATTTTAGGACAAAAAAAAACCCTGAAGTCTTCCTATTGTCACGATCATAACTACAATGTAGATTATCCAGCTAGTTATTAGGTCTCTCCACCATCACAACCTACATGAGACTATGCAGTGAATGAACCTCACAAATAGGACTCTTAACCACAAGAAGGAGCTTGTGCACCTTAGAAACTGCCCCGGGCTCACCGACAAAGCAACCCTGAGATTAAACCCACAAAATACCAAGGGTGGAACTTCCAACTAAACCATCAAAGGTGATAACAAACCATTCAATGCTAGGACAGATTCCAGTTCCTCTAAAGTTGATTTGAATTTGTTAGGACAGTTTATGTATGTACTTGCATTCTTACATTAAACATGTCTTTCAATTGTGTATTTATCATCAGTAAAGTATATGTTATGAATTTAATAGTTAAACGTTTTTATGTCGGATATATACATGAATGAGAATAACCAGTCAAGTGGGTAGCGCTAGTCACTGTGAATCAGTCAGATGTTTTCTGTTAAGTAAGAAGCTTTTGGTTTCAAATAGTCTTTCTTGGCTTCCTATGTAACTCGATCAATGAAGAGATATTCTGAACGACATAAGCTATTGATTGATCATCAGATCCAATAGAATGAAACAGGCCAAATTGTGTTTTGAATATATATACCTGGAAAAAGTTAAGCACCCCCCAAATATTTTTCAGGATTGCTTATTGAAAATAAGGTTTAATTTTCATGATGTTGAGCAATGTTCATAATTTCAAACATAATTAAAAGGATGTGAGC